CTTAGCTTTCTTTTAATATTCGTCACGCGCTGCACTGGCGCGAGAAATAAAACCATTTAATTATAATTGAACTAACCATTAGCTTTTTTAAATACCAAATTCGTAACACTGCCCCCTTCCCAAGGACTGCACGTCCCGGGCAGTACAATCCCTGGACCAGAAGCTTAACTTACAACTGTGGCATAAATGCAACTGAGGCATAAACATTACATTACAATATCAAACAATATAACAATAAATGCAATAACTAAACTTAAAACAAATCAAATGCTATCAAATACTAAATACAAAACAAATACTAAATGCAAATCAAATACTAAATACAAATCAAATACTCAATACACACATTTATAACAAAAAAGGACCATGGTCTGATAATATTTACAATTATTTACATTACGTACTATGGCCATAGTAATAAGCTAACCTGTCGTAAGAGTTCGAAGACTCACGGATCCGAACCACGACGTCATTTCGTGTTCAGCACTGTATATGGACCATCCGAAGGTGACTGTAATTTAGGACTCAGTCCTTTTCGTTGAATTGGGTTCACAACCACACCTTGTCTCCTTTGTTGGATCTCTGTCTAGTAGCTCTTGTGTCGCATCTGATCTTCATTTTCTCCGTCGCCAAGTGACTCGCTTTGTGCAGAACGGGTGCATCCCTCAAACCGGGCCTGGGCATCTTGGATGTGTTCCTCAGGCATGAAGGCGCATCCGTAGGGCGACTAAACAGGCGGTCACAAGGCAGACGAAGGTCTCGACCGAAGAGCTTTGGGATGGAGAATAGCTGGTAGTCTTGAGTTTTTTTTCGACCCTGGTATGATTTCGGCAGCTTCTTACGAGCTCGATATTTTGGACAAGGCGTCGACATTTCCAGGCAAGGATCCCTTTGAGGATGGATAGTCATGCCATCAGATGCTGAAAGCAGCTTATTGTTTTTGAAATCTAAGGAAAAATTGTATTTCCTTAAAAAGTCCAATCCGAGTATGCATGGATCTGTAATATCCGCCACATATGCCGTTGTGATGGTAGGCGGCACTTCCAAAACGTGATGTTTACGTTTAACTTCCCAGTTATGTCGATCTTGTCACCAGACGCAGTCTGAAGGGTAAACACAGGATGGCGTCCAAATAAGTTTATCTTTAAAACTGTTCAGCTAAATCTTTCTTCTAATGATGGTAACATTAGCTCCTGTGTCAATGATCATATTGCAAGGAACTCCATCGATATTCCCATTGATGGACAGTCCGTTATTGTTGCCACTCACTATAGAGATCTTAAGCGCTTTAAAGCAGGGTTTTTCATTATCTGGCAACCTCCGTTCCTTGATATGGTCATTAATTTGTTTCCTGCGTCGTTGCTCAGAAATTGTCTCAATTTTCGTACCCTGGGGTGTTCTGCAATTCTTTCGTACATGGCCTTCAGCTCCACAGTTCCAGCACTTTGGTTTCTTGTCAGTCCTTTTCCTTGCCGTGGCATTTAATTGTCTGTTTAAATCGTATGCCTTTTTTTCTGTGCTCTGGGGAGTTCTGCAGTTCCTTCGTAGGTGGCCTTCAACACCGCAATTCCAGCACTTTAGGGTCGGTTTTGTTTCACCACTATTCCGTCTTAAAGCATTCACTGGTCTTGTCAACTCATCCGTTTTATTATCCGTGCCCTGGGGTGTTCTGCAATGCCGTCGTAGGTGACCTTCAGAACCGCATCTCCAACATCTTACAGCCACTTTGTTTTCCCTGCTACTCCGTATCAAAGCATCGACTTGTCTGGATAAATCATCTAAACGAGCCATCAGTTGATCCACTGGCTCATGGACTCGCACAGCTCTAACTGGGTAGCGATCTCTACGAGTGGCTTGCTGGGCTGCCTCGAATTTCATGGCGTATACTAGAGCGCTTTTTAAATCTTTTACATCCGCCATTCGTAGAGCTTTCTGTATTTCAGTATCCTGGATGCCGTCGATAAAGTATTGCAAGGACAGGATTTCCCTTGTTTCTGTCGGGCATTCCGAAAAGGCAAGATGGGACAGCCTTTCAACATCCGTGGCGAGCTCCTGAAGTGTTTCGGTAGGCTTCTGTTGACGAGATTTTAATTGGAGCCTGCTGTAGTCTTTTAAACACTTCTCGACGAAGCGCAGCTCCAAAGCGCCGGATAGAGCTTCGAAATCTAGCCTTTGATTTTCGGGAAGCGTCTGCAGGATATCCGCTGCGTCTGGTCTCAGAGAAGCGGCGAGATGACAGGCCTTAGCTTGGGAATCCCATCCATTCGCATCCGCAACGATAGAAAATTGTGTCCTATACACCTGCCAGGAGGTCTTCCCATCATATGTAGATAATTTCAGAACAGAACGAGCAGGCATCGATAAAAATTTGAAACCTTCAGAATTGTTTCCTACCGTCGCTATGCACTTCTTTAGGCTGTCAACTTCTTTGGCAACGGCAGCAAAAACCCTATCATCAATTTGTTGTTCGACGGCAGAAACTCTCTCTTCTATATGTTCTTTTACAGAAGAAATTCTTTCTTCTACTTGTTCTTTTACTGAAGAAACTCTTTCTTCTATTTGTCCAACTTAGTTTCAACCGCGTCTATTCTGCCTTCCATAGCCTCAAATTTATTTTCTATTACGCAGATAATTTCTCTTTTCATTTTGTCCTGACCTGCTTTCATCTCTTTTTAAGAGATTTCATCTCTTCCTTAACGGATTCCTGGCCCAATTTCATTTCTCCTTTAACGGATTCCTGGCCCAACTTCATTTGTTCCTGTGCCGTTTCATTTCTTCCTTGAGGGATTCCTGGCCCAATTTCATTCTTCTTTAAAAGATATTTGGCCAGCTTCCATCTTTTCTTGGAAAGCAGCAAAAGCAGTAATGAGCTTGTCTCAATTGTTCTTCCATCCCTCTTGTTATTGGCATTCAAACCCACTCCTGACACAAAAATTGTTGCGTGCGTACGGGTTCGTTATGAAATGAATGCACAAGTCCGATGAAAAAATGAACAAAAATTTATTATTATCACAACAGAAATGCTTAAATTTTCTCAAATTATCATGCAGTATCACAATATCTCACAGTAGTTATCTTTTTAACTACTTAAATGTACAATAGAACGTAATTCAAAACAGCTAAAGAACGCTAATCCACGAATTCGCTATAATTAACAAACGGCAGTTTTTCTAAACAACAACAACAACTAAGCAACTACTACAAAACTGAGATGTTTTCCTCCTTTTATAAGATTTTTAAAATCACGCGCTAGAATTTTTCAGTACTTTCTCGAAATCAAAAAGAGATATTTATTTATTTAACGCACGCGCTCTTGTATTTTTAATTTTTCCGGCTTAGCTTTCTTTTAATATTCGTCACGCGCTGCACTGCGCGAGAAATAAAACCATTTAATTTATAATTGAACTAACAAAATTTTTTTAAATAACAAATTCGTAACAGTACGTAATATGATAAACTTTAGAAACAGAATTTGTTCTGTAATGAATGTAATCCATAAATACTTTTCAAATCGAAAGCTAACAATCCTTTGACAATGCAAACAGCAAAACAGAAACTTATGTTGCAGTCAGTCCTGCCCCCCCCCCAAAAAAACCCCCTCATACTGAGGATAAAAGAAATTACCAAAACAAGAAAGCTTTGCTTATTAACGTTGACACATCTCAGCAAATCAGCAATTTATATTTCTTTATTGAGATTTTTGTTAAATATCATGTATTTTACTTAAAACAGGGTTGCCACTCAAACAGGAAAATGAAATTCCCTGACTTTTCCAGGTGTGATTTAAGAAAATTCCAGTCTATCTGCATAATGCACATTTGCTGTGCTAAGAAGTAAATTATGATACCACTTGAAAACACAAAAATTTTCCAATTACATATGACTTATATATATATATATATATATATATATATATATATATATATATATATAATATATACACTGGTTATCATAAATTAAGGAAAAATCACAAAAATAGCGATAACTCCCTCAAAATAAGCCAAACCATGTAAGATTTGAATATATTGCCAAGTAAGAGTAGCTGAGTAAAACTGCAATATGCAAATTAGTGGCGCTGCACTCAGAATACGTCATCTGCGAGGAGAATAAAAGTCCATGTTTGTGTTCTCTTTAACGGATGAATCCAGGTTTAGTCTAGAAAGCGATAGTAGGCGTTATTTGATATGGAGAGAACCTGGAACCTGTTATCATCCGTCAAACATCCGTTAAAGAGATACATATGGAAGAGGCAGTGTCTGTGTTTGGGGTGGCATCTTTTTGGGTGGATGCACAGACCTCCATGTCTTTCCAACGGAAATCGTGAATGCTCTGGTTTATAGAGATGACATCCTTGATGCTTATGTGTGCCCATGTGCCGGGACAATAGGTGATGCTTTCCTGTTACAGGACGATAACTCAAGACCACACAGGGCTCGTTTGGGATGATTCAGAGAGATGTCTAGCTGCTCTCAGTCTGCCCCCTCAGACCCTTGCAGCGGTTGCAACAGCTTTGCAAGAGCAATGGCTCTCGCTTCCTATGGAACTGATAGACCGCATAATTGAAAGCATCACGCATCACTGTATGCGCTGTATTGCTTCTAGAGGTGACCATATTCCCTATTGAAGGTACTTTTCCTATAGCAAACTGACAACTTCGATTTGTTCATTTTATACATGTGCTAATTTCTATACTACCATAATTCTCTGGTAATTTATATGTTATTTGTTAAAAAAGAGAGTTTCAGCGCGAAACTCTCTTTTTTGGGGAGAAATCGCCATATGAAATTCCCTGACTTTTCCAGATTTTGACTAAAATATTTAAATTCCATGACTTTTCCCTGAAGTTTTTGGTCAATTTTCAAATTCCCCGGTTCTCCAGATAGCGTGGCAACCCTGTTAAAAGCAGTTTATAACAAAATTTAAATAAATAAATAAATAAAAAATACAGTTACAGATATTCAAGAAAGAATGAGATATAAGAAAATGTAATAAGTACTAACACTCTGAAGCACTTCACTCCAAAAACATTGATGCCAGCCACCTTCACCTCCTTGACTTTGAAGGCAGGAAGCACAATCTGAGTACTGACTACAGCTGCCGGGACATTCAAGCGGAGGCATTGAATCAATGGAGAAAGATGGTGCAGCTTGAATTTCTTCAATTACACAGACCCAATTGAATATAGGTTTCTGGTTTAATGTATGACCAAAGCCACCTGTAGGAAATTCGGTAAAGATTGAAAAAATAAAAATGCTAGTCTGTGTATAACATACATAAGAAATTAAAATAAGAAAAGGTTATATTTTCTCAGAATTGCTTTTACCATGCCTACCAATTTATATAAAATTTTATACTAAAAATTCGTTTTTTTAACGAATTTTGCGTTTTTTTTTATAAAGATGCTAAATAATAAGCTAGTTAGCATTTTTATGCTTGGCAGGCATTAAATTTATAATTTTAATTCATCCTTACTTGAAAAATAAATTCTATTAATCAAGATATATAATGATAATACTTTTAATAATAAGAATACTTTTATATTGTGTATCACTTAGCTGACAATTTAATAATATTTTAACTTTTTAATTCACCATTAAAAAAAAAAATAAACACACCTTTATCATGGTATCATTAAAATAATGATAGTAAGCTGAAATTAAATGAAAAAAAATTTGAAGTAAAACATTTTATTTCCCATTGGCATGTTTAAAAATGTCTTAGCATTTCCTTTTGTTGATTTTTGAATTATTTCGATTTTGAAATATAAACAAGATCATAAATACACTACCTGACATTGAAAATGCAACACCAAGAAGGAGTGGCCTGAAAATTATGCAAATTTCAGGGTAGATGCATGTCACCAAGTTATGCAAATGATGTGAAATGCACAGCTCTCCAGTGCATGTTGAAGAAGACATAAGGGAAAGAACCTGCAGAAAATTCCGTTTTCGTGCAACCATTTCTGATAGGAAAATCATTGTAGAAAATTTGTTCTTGCCTTAAAGAATGCCAGGCTATTATCAACGAAGGCAGTTCCAGCAGACAGACGTTTTTACGAGGGGCATGGTGATTGGACTGAGAAGTTCAGGTGGGGGTCCATATGGCAAACCTCAGTTGACACACATCTTGATGCATCCACAGTACACCAGCTGTGGTGAAGATGGTTGAAACAAGGAAATGTGGCAAGCTCGAGGGGTGTTAAAAACCAAGCCTCAGTTGTTATCTTTCTTTCATAGTTTGTCACTGTAAGAGTGGCAACCATCTGATCGTTTTTGTAGTCTGTTGTAGTTCCTATATATGACACTTTCAGAATATTAGATGTAAAGTTATTTTATTTTAAGTTTATTAAGAAAGGAGAACAGTTAGTTCTTGCAAATCTCAAACAATTTTGGTGACGACAGAAGTGATTGGTAACATAAGTCAAGATAATTTTATTGTTTTTATCGAATTTAATTTTTTTGACTTTAATATTGAATTTATTTTTATTGAAATGGAATCATTAATTGAGAAATGAAAACCTGTCAGAGCATCTTTTATGAAAACAATTAATGCAATTTTGCAGGACTTAGAAAAGGAAATTCTTGATGAAAAACCTGTGAAAACGAAACTTGTTACTTTAGAATGCTTATCAGTTGAACTTAATGCATTTGACACTCAAATATTAAATTCGGAATTTTCTTCAAATGATCAGTATGAAAGTGAATGGGTGAAAGTTGAAGAATACAAAATAAAATTAGATTTAATATGAGTACAAATGGAATTATTCTTCAATTGCCAAACGACACAATACATTGGCAGCGTGCTGCTGAATTCGAACAAGTGGAAACTGAAATTACCTAAAATAGAGTTAAAACAATTTGGTGGTGAAATTAAAGACTGGTTACCGTTTTGTTGACAATTTCGGCAAATAAATGAAGATAAAGAAATTCAAAATGAGAATAAGATCTCATTCAAGCAACCGTACCCGGTACGAGGCCACGTCGTATTGTATACAGCTTCCCTGCAACTGCCAAAATTATGAAAAAGTTATAGAAAGCTTAAGAAAAAAGTTTGACATTGAAGAATTGTTGGTAGAATTCTATATTCAGGAATTATTAGGTCTGATTATTAAAAATGTTACTGATCAAATGGGAAAATGTAGTATATCAGAATTGTATGACAAGTTAGATTCATATTTATGTTCGTTGGACTCAATAGGAATGACAAGTGACAAATACACAGCAATGCTGTTTCAGCTCATGGAATCCTGCATTCCCGTGGAAATTTTACAATTTTGGCTTAGAAATCATGCATCAATAATTACCGCAGGAAATTCTCACTCTGAGAAATTGAAACAATTATTATTGTTTATAAATAATGAAATGGAAGGAGATCAGAGAATTTCTTTGGCGAAAGCTGGATTTAAATTAATTGATTCGTTTCAAAGAAAGAAAGTAGAAGCGATAAAAGGAACCAGGGTGAACATTTCGTGCCTACAGCAAATGATTTATTCTCAAGACATAATAAAGCAACCAATTGTAGTGAAAAGAATTCTTTCATATTTTGTGAGAAAAATCATGAATGTCAAGATTGCTTTGTTGTTTGAAAGATGACTGTGAGTCAAAAGAATGATGAAATTTAGAAAAAAAAGGGTTGTTTCTTCTGCCACAAAACTGGACACAGGGCCAAGCATTGCAAGATCATTATGCTCGAAAAGACATTGGGATGTCACGTGTTCGGATTTGCCCACCAATCAAAAGAGCAATGATGTTGAAAAGAATAAAGAAAAGGAAACACAAAATGTGTCACTCCCTAGCACTAATTTCCTAGATGAAGTGTTTCTTCAAACACCATTAATTAAATATCGACGCAAACAATAAGCAGAAGACATAAGGGCATTTATGGACACAGGAATCACAAAGTTCATACATATTAAAGGAGACTGCTGCAGGCATAGGGTGCCACACAATTGGATTTGAATATTTAATTCATGGACTTTTTAGAAAAGTAACAACAAAGAGAGAAATTCACAAACACTATGAAGTGAACGTTAGAAGCTTAAGAGGTGATTTTTCTAGACGACTACTCTTATTGGAACAGTCAAAGATTTGTGGACCAGTAGTCAGTTTACAGCCTGGACCATGAATAGAAGAACTAAGGCAAAAAAATATCCATACATCTGATGTAGAAAGAAGGGATTTGAAAATAGGAGTTCTTATTGAAGCTGATGTCACAGGTGCTCTGTTAACTAGAAGAATTCAGAAATTAGAAAATGGGCTGACTGCTGTAGAACCACTACTTATATGGACAATCATGGGAAAGAATAAATGATAACCAGAAAGAAACTTTTTGTCTACGTTATCAACAATAATGTTATGTTGACTCACAGCAAAGACATAGAAAATTTGTGGAAGCTAGAAGTACTGGGAATTACAGATTCTAAAGAAAATAAAACTGTTTCAGAGTTAGAAGAAGCAATCTGGGATCACTTTTACAAGACTCTGAAGAGAGTGGATGATCGATATGAAGTCAGCTTACCTTGGATCAACGATAAAGAAGCTTTACCAAGTAACAGAGAAGTTGCTGAAAAATGATCGATTTCCATGACAAAGAAGCTCATGTTGAAGGATAAATCTGAAGCATACAATACAGTGTTCAAAGAGTGGCTCGAATCCGGAGTAACAGAAAACTCGGAACAAAATGAAATAAGAAAATTTTGCCATTGCAGAGTAGTCTTCAGGCTAAAATGCAGTCTGTTTCTTGTAGGAGCAGTGATCAACTCCCATTTAGACCAATGTAAATCTTCTTTGAAGGAAGTGGCTACGAAATTGAAAAATTCCTTCTATATTGACAACTGTGTCACTTCAGTGAATTCGAATGAAGAAGCAGAATACTTTATTGGAAAATCAACTCAGTTAATGGCAAGTGCTAACTTTGACTTAGGAGGGTGGGAACAAATAGAACTGAACAGTGAAAAATCTACAATGGACGAACCATTGGAAGTACTTGGCCTTCTGTGGGATAAATATGAAGATTCTTTGTTTTGTGACATCCCTAATATCAACTTGATTGATCTCTCAGTGACAAGATAAAATGTACTATCAATTGTACAGAGAGTTTTTACCCAATAGATTTCATCTACCCTTTTACACTCCTTTCAAAGTTATACTTGCAAAAGAGTTGGGAAACTAAATTGAGCTGGGATGCAGAGCTACCTGAAGATATCCAGAGAAAATTCTTGAAGTGGGTCAAAGAATTGCTTTTGTTATCATCTATGAAAATTCTCAGACTAGTTCCACTGATAGATGGACAATCTTTTAGTTTGCATAAATTTGCTGATGCTTAACAGGGATCTTATGCGTGTGCAGTATATTTTATTATGGAAAAATAAATTACTTGAGCGTTGAGCTTGTCTTGTCCAAATACAGCTTTGAAGAGCTCCACATTTTTGACAATCAGATGCTCCGCACACTCTTAATGGACAAAAAGAAGGTTCTTCAATTACTTTTCTAGGAATATTACAGTCATTTTCATCATCACATGAAGATCCAGCAGGTATACAGCGCCCAGTTCGACAATTGGAACACCACTGACAAACCTTCAAAAACACAGGAAACATTTAACAAATTTTTATTGAGTTTTAAAAATTATTTATTATCATTACTGCCAAAAAAGTAATACTTCAATACACTTCAGATTTTTTTTAAACAGATATTTTCTTTCTTCTTTAAAATAAATCAGTAATTTAAAATTTTAACTACAAAGAGATCTGTCCTAAAAGCAGCTTTAGGCTGGTAGGTTCTGAATTAAACTCTAGTTTTAGAGAGTGATCAGATATAGGTTTCTTTCCTTCAGGAGAAATTTTTTTTTTTTTTTAAACAAAGCTAGAAATAGCGACACCATTTTAGATGGAAACCAATGAGAGGTGAAGCATAAACAAATAATGAATATTGTGCTATCTGTCAAGGAAAATAACAATGAAATATGAGAAAGCTAAGCTATTAGAACTTAGGAAGAACTAGGAATAAATAGTTTAGATATGATTCATTAACTTATGCAAAAAAACTTCTCTGAATGTGAGAGACTTTCAGAAAATCCAATTCATTAATTGAAGAAGATTTATGAATAATTTTCATAGAATCAAAACCAAAATTGTGGTTAAGTGCTCTATAATAATCAGCTTCAAAAAATGGTTTATTTCTCCTTTTCAAACATAAAATTCCTGTTTCTTGATAGGAAATTTTAACATCCTTTAGTATGGCTGATATATGTCAAACCACATTGATAAGATATGTTATAAATTCTCCACTTTGAGGATTCAGATTTTAACATTAAAAAAGATTAATACAATTCTTAACATCAAAATTAAATCAGATTAAGATTTTTAGATTGATCAGCTACATCAGCAATACTGATGATAAAAGTTTACACAACAGCTAGTATATCACAAAAACTTATAAAGCAGTCACATTAATTATTCAAGATAAATTATATATAAATGACCTCAATGAGACAGATTATGCAAAAATAAGTCTCATCTTCTTTTTACTGGGTTTGGTCACGTTTCTGCACACGGAAATTAAATACTTTTAAGGACCATTAATGAAAAAATTAAGGACCTTTGAGCAAATGAAAAGTGAATAAATTCAATTAAAAATATTATTCTATGCTTTAATTTTACTTTTGTAATACCACTTTAAAAATAAAATAGATCCCTAAGTAATATGCATTATTACTAAACATGAATTAATTAACATAATTATTAATAAGCTTGAGAATAAAATAAACTTTATGCAATTTCTCAAGTAGCATTAAATATTTTACACTTATAATAGTTGGGCATATTTGAAAGTAGATAAATGAAAATTGTGAAATTTACGTTTTACTAATAGTTAGCTTTATGTTGATTTTTTATGTCTCATTTTGTCACATACTTGGTCAGTCTAAAGGTTTAGTAAATAGCAGGTAGATTTTATGTCAAACAGCATACATTAAAATGAGAAGTATGATCATAATCAGCATGACTCATGACAAAAGACTGAATGCTGTCACTGCTGCTGCTTGTCTAAAGAGAGACCTGCTGATTAAAACAAACCTGAAAGGCCTGATGTAGGCATGGTTGGCAAGTGTTGAAAGTTACTCAGGACCTGTTTAATGCAGTTAGTGTCATAGCTTTGTGCAGAGTTCCAGGGGTTGTAACCCAGTGAATATACTTTAAGGTCCCAATAAGAAATTAAAGCACCAGAGGTAAAAAGTTGTTTTGTATCATTTTAAGTCTCACTGAATGCAAAGAACAAGTTTTACTTGAATTTTTTACATTTTTGTGTTTTATCTTGTGATTATTAATGAAAGGCAATAACTCACTTTAATATGTAGAGATCATTTTTAAGGGTAAGCAGTTAGCTATAAGTAATTAAATTAGGTAACCTTAGTCATTATGGATTTACGTGGGCACTATTAAATTTTATTTTTATATATTAACCATATTTGTTAAAAAGCTCTATTAAAATCAAAATCTAATAAAATTTCACAGTTTAAAATACATGTAATTTATGACATTGATTCTTAAACGATATTAGAACGATTACACATTAAAAGCTACAAAACATTTATGTTTTGTAACAAGAACACTCAACAAAATATTTATCCGTGACTTTAATTTAAAGCCTTCCCAAACATTTTGGATAGTTTATATTGATTTCCTTCTCTTTAAGCATCTTTTCTAACAATTAGACATTTGTCTCAATATGCAAACCAATGCTCTCGCTAGTTTCTGCATGCTTTATCTCCTAACTTGTCAACCTCTCCACAATGTAGCTATGAGGGTTTATTTGATTTGGTGAAAGTTAAATAGTCCAAAACCCCCAATAGACATGAAGCAAATTATCACTATGTCTGAAAGTAACTACAATATCAGACAAAGGTTTAAATAAGCCTCTTATTTAAAAAGAACTTAGAACATAAAGGCATGTTCTGATGTTAACAAAATCAATTATAGCTCACGATGACATAATTAAGTAGTAGTCAAATTCAAACTAAAAATGTGGACTAGTGGTAAAAGATAAAAAAAAATTAATTTTAATTTAATCTGGCTATTTAAATCTATCATATGAGGAAATAGAAATGGAAAACTATAGTAAAGGCTAAAATTATAAACAGGTAATTTACATAATAATAACTGCACATATCTTTGAAGAATAATTTTCTTTATTCTTTCTTCACGTTTCCTTTTCATTTTAGAATTTTTGGATTTAATTAAGGATTTCTGTTATTCCAAAAAACACTAAATGCATTTAGTATGTATAGAAAAAGTAGCTAATCTTATTTCTTTAGTAATATGAACATTCAGGAGAAATATGAAATATATATGATAAAGGTTGATTCCAGAGCTGGTGTGGCAGAATTTTTAGAATTTAGTGACATATCGAACAACAAAATCTAGAAATGGCAAAACTTTCAGAACTTAGAGCAGGCATTGATAGCAGAATTTAAAAAGGCACTAGGCAGCAGAATTTAGAATCCATAGAGACTGCATCAAGTGGGAAAATGCATAGTGCCAGCTTTGTATAGGATGCATTAAGGCATATTAGATGAATATTTTACAATTTCTTTATTAATAAAAAAATTACTTTCTATAACGCCTGCCCAAGTGATAATATTAGAAGCATTTTTGATATTTTCCATGCTTGTGTCTAGTGAAAAGTAGAAAAAATAAAGGGAAGATAAACATGTTAAGAAAATGACTCTAGTATCAGGAGTAAAACATTCAAATATTATGTTTTCATTTTTCTTCCAGGCGTTCTCCAAAAAATAAGAAATTCATCGCAAACTTTCTGTAAAATACATCCATTACGCATTGATACCACGGAGACATTTTTCATTTTGTCAAATATTTCTTGAATTTTCTAGAATGACAGCGAAAAATAAAAATGTTTTATTTTAATATTATTTTTTAAATATAATTTCAATACATTACCATTAGTTTAATGAAATTTATCAATATTATGATGTTTTAAAAACAATCGTCGAAAAATTCTCAGATCTCGGAATAAAAAATTTTCTATAGAAACTAATCTTAAAATCCCCAAAATGTTGACAAGTCGCAAAATTTAGAACCGTTTAATAAAAGAATTCACATCCCCAAAAGCGAAAAGTTGTTTAACAGCTCTTTATTAAGAAAAATGAATTTCGAAATGCTTATGTTTCACTTCTTGCTTATGTTTCACCTATACCGTTATTTATATTAGAAATAGAAACAAATTATAACCCATTCAAAACATAACCATATATGTCAGTGAATCACCAAAAATATTCCTCCAAAATGCTAATTCACACTCAAAATGACAGTTGTAAAAACAGACAGAAATTTTAGATGATTAAAATTAAAGACCTTCTGCTGATTTTGGCCAAAATTAAGGACTTTTAAGGACCAAAAATCGATTCCAAAAAATTTAAGGACTTTTAAGGATTCTTAAGGACTGTACAAACCTTGTTTTAGATATTAGTTAATGCTGCCCTCCCCTCTCCTCACCCCATCTATTCCCATGGATGCACATAGTGTAATAACAGTTCTATAATACAAATTCAATCCTTTTCCTTACTCACTTGTTTAGCATTTTTGTGAAATGGCCATGAAGTTACACAATCTGTGCACGATGTAAAGTGATGACAGTTACGTTTCTCCACCAGTTCTTTATTACATGATAAAGACTGCAAAAATGTCGCCGATTCTTTGGGATTGTAACATCTATGTTAAAAGGAAAGGCTATAATTTACCATAGGAAAAGAAAAGTATAGTTTTGACAAATAGAAGTGTAGACTAGCATTCATGCAATTATTAATTTGTTAACAAATAACAAAGACACAAAAATCTCCATTGCATACATATGTCCATTACAACTTTTACTGAAATAAATATCTGAACAAAAAAACAAAAAAAGGGGGGGGAGGAAAGAAAGAAAACTGCTGGGGGTCACTAAAATTGCAACACCACAGAAAAAAGCATTAAGAGAATCACATTAATTTTAAAATGAGATGGAAAGATTAAATGATTAAAATTTCACATAATTTTGAGGTACAGAACATGAAAAAATTAATACTCCGAGCATCTACCTCTGGCAATAACAGCAGCTGTTACACAACTGGGTATAGAACCGAACAGACTTTGAATGGAGTTACAGATATATGGCTACAATTCTTTGCCAGAGTTCATCAATCATATAGACTCCAACCTACAGCAAAACCTGTCAGTAATCAATGCACGAATGACATTTTTATGCCTTTAAAAATCTGATAAGGTATATTTCTTTTAATAAATCAGTCTACATTTAACTTAAAATTCATAAATAAAAGAACCAAATAAAAAAGTATTTCTTGTAAATTATATGCATATTTAATTTGGAATTTTCATTTTATTACTCAGCAGGAACATTACTAAATCAAATAATCATATAAAGGGTAAATCAGAATCCATAAAGCACATATCTTTATAAAGCTTTTGGTTTCTAATTTCCATAAAGAAATAAAAAAGAATTAATTCCAAATAAAAACAAAAAATATACATATAACTCTCACAAAAATTATTTGTAATCTATAAATTATGAATTTTTTTTTGATAACAGAAAAATATCTTTCACAGGTGCCATTTGAATGATGCATTATTATTAAGTTAATGAACACACTATAACAATAAAAGAAACTGTTATGTGTGTGTATCACAAAGTATAAAAATTGAAAGTCCCAGAGTCCAAAATTAGGTTCACATACTCTCTAAACAGGGAGTATCTTCAAGCATCACACAGTAATTAAAAAATAAATAATTTAGATTATTAAATTTTTGTGTTAAAGTAATTTTCTGCATACACTTAAAAGAAGTGCGTTTAAATCATCAGTTACAACTAGCATACTTATAAATTTTGCACCACTAGATTTAGAGGAAGAAAATTTATTAAGTGAATAGCATTCAATTTTTCTACAGTAATTTATCAATTTTTAACAAAGTGTTCAACTTTTCTTTAAAATAGTAAGTTCCACATTTTTAAATATTGACTTAAAAAATCTATTGCTCCCAACCTCTAGAATTTTTGAAAGATAATAAAAGTAATCCTTTGCCCTGTCTTGAAAGAGAATAATACAAAACATGGATTAGACAATTTTATAAAATTTTAAAACATTTATTAATGTTACATCACATACACCAACACTGCATTTCCCCCCTTCATTAATTCATGCAATTCCATTCATAAAGGGCAAAAAACTACTACTTGTTTCTAAGCTGACTGTTCTCTCTCGCCACTGTGTGTACATACAAAGAATGCTCTCATGGCGACCACATCTGAAAGTGACCAGTATTTATGAGAAAATATACAAATATCGGAATGATAATTATACTACTATTTCGTAAAACAACCACTTCCTTACCTGACCAGGATAATCAAATATAATTAAGGTGAAAGCAAAATGCCTAATTTTGCTAAAGAAATAAACATTTTACACATTAAATACATTTATGTGAAAAAGAAAATCTCAAACTATTCCTACCAGAGCAACATTTTTAATGGAAAACAGCACTTTGTCAGAATCATTTTCAAAAGCTTTTTTTAATCCTTGCAGGGAGAGAAATATTTTTAAATGATTTATCACATTCCTATATTATTTACATTAATTTTTTCCTATCTGCACAGTACAATAAGTAAAACAAATCGATGTTCAGGTGGTGTCATGTCACTTCACGATATCTTTTATGTTCATTTATTATTCTCCAATATAACTAATAAATTCTAAACTTTGAATCTTGGAATTATCATATCATTTTAATTTAGTACAATGATACATTTAAAACCCTTATTGATTCAACAGAATATATAAATGACTGAATTAAGATAATTTTTTGTTAGTTAATTTTCCTTTATAGTTATCTATTACTTTATCATTACAGAAGATACACTTGATTATGTGAAAGGAAGATGAAAGAGTATATGACAGTAGTGTAAAGAAATATTTTATGAAAAAGGGTATTAATTATGAACTGCACGAAAGCAGAAGTAATAAATTTTAGTCCTGACTGAAAGCAAAGATGTAGAACAAGATCAATAGCTATGCATTGATAATAGATGAACTCAAGACAAACAACAGTTTTGGGGTATACTTCTTGGCAGAAACATTTTTGAAATGTAATCCTGTGTATCTATTTATAAAGAAGCAAAAACATCTATGACAGATAAAAACATAAACATATTTCAGTAGTTCTTTTATTAAAGATCTAAATTAAGAAGTTAAAACAACTGTATTGTAATGCAGTAATTAATAAGATGCTTATTTGCCTGATAAAATTCAAATTACTTCAGAAAGGAAGTGATTAATCAAAAAACAAAATCAAGTAAATATACTTCGTTAATGGAATACAACAGTTTTTTTTTTTTTTTTTTTTTTTTTTTTCAGTTGGTAAACAAAATTGATAATACAGCTGACACTCATCATAATGATCCTTTTCATCCTAAAGGAAATGCCTTTTTTTATTGAGATTACAACAAAGCACACAAGGGTTATCTGCTTAATTGAAGGGATGTCTTCGCAAAGGACTTTCTAAGCAAAACTGGTTCGTACACACATTACACATAGGGAAAAAAATGAAAACAACCATGCAGCCAGTCAGTTCACCTGGAATCGAACCCAGGTCAGAACTATCAACATTCAGCGACTTTACCGCTCGGCCACTGGTGGGCCTCTACAGAGATGGCAGTAGGAGTCTAAAAGATCTTAAAAGGATGCAGCTCTCATATAAGCATGCCTTTTTTTTTTTTTTTTTCCATAATTTCCCGGCCTGTGGTTGTATAGAAAGATTCTGCTTAACCTTCAGCAGTATAATCCTGCAATATTATTCATACTACACTGATTTTTGTTGCTTATCATAATCATAAGATTCTTTAACATTTAAGGTTTGCGTATTTTTTAATTCTGCATAATAAAGCAACTGAAAGTAAACAATAGCTTCTACAATTAATGATACCAGCCACATTTAATTGACTGATATATTCTAAAATATAGACTTATTGAAATGTTCATAAACTTGAAACACCAAATGCCTGTAAAAAGGAAAACACTAATTCCAGTATTTATTGACATGCAATATCTTGGATATCTCCAGTTTATATAGTGCCACAATTAAATTTATTTACTTTGTCTATGCAGATACTACAAAACATTCATAAAATAGGTTAACCATAAAAAGCTTAGGAGAAAAATAATTAAGTGAACAAAACAGAAAAACACACTTTTAGAACAATATCTAATGCATATCACACATCAGTTTCATTGTATAACTGAAAAATGCTTCCTTTTATTTATCTTTTTTAATCTCATACAATTTATAATTTTGACCTGAAGTTTTTATAACATAAAATTTCATCATTAACTATATCCTTCCTCTATCAGCAGACTCAATTCATCAATTTTCCCACATATTTTTTTTCATGTTATTTCTAAATCTCTGTAGAATTAATATAACTTTTAATAATACACACTTTTTTATAGTTAAGCTGACACAAAAGATTATAAAATTTAAAATAAAACTTACCTATTTTGATCTTGTTGATCTTGAGAAAAACAGAATGTTTGATTAGCTCCATTTTCAATGACAGAGCAAAAAGCACATCCTGTCTGCTGAACACAACCAACACGATTAGCAGAAAATAAGCGACATATGTCTAAAGGCAGGGAAAGTTTTAAAAGTTGACCATCATAGCCTCCATAAAAATAAATATCACCATTTGCAACTGTAGCTCCAGCTGCTACAAATGGCTTTGGCCAGTTTCCAATGACTTCAATAGCTGTAAATTATAAATAACTTGCAATTAAACATTTATGTTAAATTAATTCTGTACATCTGAAACTCTCAAAATAATTGCCAATTATAGAAAAAATTACACATTATATTATTTATTCTTTACATCAAAAAACAAGTTTTATCACGCACTAAATTTCTTTCTTCCCTTATGATTACAATCCTATTAAAATAATACACTGATTCAAATGTGATATTATTCAGTATATTATGCGTACGAATTTAAAAATAAGAAATAAAGAGTAAATAGATTAGATAATCACATGCAAGTATAGATATTAGATATAATCTTATACAGTACGAAGTCCGTAATCCAGCGATTAAGGATTAAGGGTTTTTCCGGATTATAGATCATCAATTTAAATCTGGTAAGATGGCATGCAGAAATTATACAATTAAAACTATGAAACCGTAACTTATGAAATAAAGAGCAATTATGATCTAAAAGGTATCAAAATTTACAAAAAAAAAAAAAAAACAAAAAAAAAAAGCTTAATATTTATTTGTTACTTGATTAAACATTTCTTTCAATGTAAGTTATTTAAGTTGCTTCATTTTTGTGCTAAATGTGCATTCATAAACATTAAACGCTCATGCATAAACACATTACGCTCAGCGTAAAGTATATAAAAAAAAAGTTTGTGGCTTTGAGGTCCAGATTATAGATCATTCCAGATAATGGATGTCCAGATTACAGACTTTGTACTGTATATGATATCCTTCTCAGATAACCACATGCAAATATAAATGCATCACATCAATAAAACTAAAACAAAAATGTAATAAAATCAAATCTGTTCATGCTAAATGTAAATAAAACTTGTAAAATGAATCTCAAGTATTTATTTCATCTGAAAAAAATTTATAGTTACTATTATTTTGATTTTATACTTATTTTTTTAATCAATAATTTACTACTTTATGACATATATTAAGGTAAGTTAATAACAGCTACTAGTTTTCACATATTTAATCACTGCAATAACAAAAGCTTATAGAGTGATTAAATCAATCAATAAATGCAAATTTGAAAAAACAATACCTTCATCTGTTAATGGAATCCATAAGTTACAAGCAAATACATAAGCAAAAGGCTGTGATGATTCTTCTAAGCTTGCAGAGCTACGACCACCAATTATTATCATGTAGTTTTCAGTCACTACAGAGCTGTGAAAGTACCTAGGCAAAGGCTGAAAATGATTTTTAAAAAGACTAGTTAAAATTTGAATTTGAAACAAAAAATTAACTTTTTTTTATTATATGACATACATATAAAATACTTTGGCTGGATGTCCTACGATCAATATTTTAGCAGAAAAAGAATATGCTATCTTTAAATTAAAAGCTGGTAATAAAACTGTCGATTATTTCAGTGAGATCTTCTCAACTAGAGATTTTGACTTTGAGAATTTAGACATTCATCCAACTTTGCTGAAATATTTAATTGAACCATTTCAGCAAATTGGAATATTGCTGTCAGCAATTGTCATATCAAGGAGGCATAAAGGCCTCCTCAATATGACAGGCTACATGGTTTTTACAGATGCGTCTAAATTAAATGGTCATGTGGGGGTAGCCTTTTGTGTGTTCTCAGATAAGAAACTAAGCTTGCAAAGGAAATATACACTTTCTGACAATGCTTTTGTCTATCAGGCAGAGTTAGTGGCAATGCGAAAGGCCTTATATTGGCTTATTTCTAATTCTGCGATAGATCCTGTAGAAATTTATAGTGACTGCAAAAGCGCAATTGTTTCAAATACGGATGTTTGTCCAAGTAACGATTTAATTAAACAGATAAATGACATGCTCATTTTTCTTAGCACTTTCAGAGATATTAAACACTTTTGGACAAAGAGTCATACTCATACCATTGGTAACAAGTTAGCAGATAGATTGGCAAAGGCTGCCACTGAAAATCAAATTATTGATTTTGAAGTAAAGACTTCCTTTGACAGTTTGAAATCCTTGTTGAAAAGAAAAAAGTTTGACTCTATGGCATGCAAAGTGGAACGATCCAGATTCTAAAGGAAGATTCACATATATTTAATCTCAACTATATGTGAGAGCAGATGCCTAAGTGAAAAGTATCTAAACCAAGCCTTAACTAATCACGGACACTTTCCCTTTTATTATAATGGGTTTTCGATAAAAAATTGTGCCTGTCCATGTGGTATGAGTAATATGAATATTGAGCACCTGTTGCTTAGATGCTCTTCTATGAAAAATATTTTTCAAGATTTTTTCCAGATATAGCTAAATTTAATACTCTAAAGAATCTAAGTAAAAATACAGTGACTAAATTGAAATTATCAAATTTCACAAAATATGTATCTGTAAATGAAATGAATTTATATATTGATTGTGTTTAAAATTTCTCTGTCTGTTTTAAGGAAAACTAGGATGTTTATGATATTCTGTTATTTTATTTCTTTGTATAAGTAAGTAACATATTTTTATGCATGTAAGTAACATGTGTTATATTTTATAAAGTATGTAATAATGTGCTTTTGTTGGTGTAGCTGGTAAATCTCACCAGCTCCAAGACTTTAAGTTCATATTTTAGTTGTTTATTCTAAAGTTATTTCAGGTAGTATGGTGGTAGTTTTACTGCTTGATGGGCCTGATTTAGGCCTTGTTTAAGATCTCGATGTTTCTTTAATTAAATAGCTTCACTAAGGTCTGTTAAGCCTCTAATGGCAGTACAGGAAGTTCGACAAATCTATAAATAAACAAAATCTTAAAACTTTTCAAAACATTGCACAGGTTATAAAAAATATTATTTCAATGATATTAATATTAACCAATTATGCTTAAAACTTTAACCAATTCAGGCATTGAAATTTTTTTTGTTCTGTTTGAAATAATCATCTGTTTCGTTATTAACTTTTACAGCAATAATATGGTATTCTTGACCATGGAAATATAAATATGATTATTTCAGAAAAAGCATGGATTTGACACAATTTCATAACCCAGATAAGGACAAAACATAAAGTCTAAAATAGCTGTTAATAATGTTGAAACCTAGGTTGCAACTGGGATCTGAATTTAGCACATAGAGGCCTTTGTGGTCAGGCTGCTTTTACACACAGAGTTAACAAAATCAATAATATACTCCAAATGATATTTTGTTTAAGAATGAGAGATGATTTGAAATTCAAATCAATGAGGCTAAAGTTAATGCTCTTGCTGTATAATCTGAATAAGAACAATATGAACAATAGCCCAAATTATTAGTTTAAGTCATACAACAAAAATCAGCGTTATATTTTCAAATTTTCACAGGACTAGTTTCAATGGTTTTACCGAACCAACAAACTCAGCTGCACAAGTGGGGGGAAAAATTATGCTTTTGCTATTCTGTGATGTTGAATTATTTCCCCTCAAAAAGATAAAATATATTTTCCATATGGCAAACATTTTCCAAATGTGACTGACAATGCAAATGTAGTTTTTGCAGGTACTTTAAAATAGAAGTTTGAATTACAGAAATTATTTTTATTTTTGCAACAAATTATGACTAAATACTTAAGAGTGGGGAAACTCTGGGAAAGACTTTTTTTAGGAAAATTGATTTATAATTAATAATATATAAAGCAGGGTAGAAAAATTTATGCGAAGAGTCCTTCTATTCCTAAGAACATATGTTACAGTAAAACTTCAAGATTCCCTAATCTTATTCATTTAAAGAGCCGAGTGGAAATATTTGGTACAAAAGTTTATTTTCATGTTCTATGAAAAGAATTTCATTTCACAGTTAATTATACATGATTAAAAACTAAAATATATTGGACTAATTTTCTGTGTAATATTGCTCAATGATTTGCAAAAAACTTCCCCACCCCGATACCGAATGCATGTCACTTAAGCATTCAGAAAAAATTATGGTCAAATTCATTGGTCATTAAAGTTATCTCATCACCAAAATTACTGCCAACGGTTACCTCAGTGGACAACCAATTTTACAGTTATGAGAAAGAGGAAGCTCCGTCTTAATTTCAACGAAGAACATTTCACAGCATGGATATCAGAGTCTCCTACTTCTCTTTCTTTATCACCAATTTCTAGAGGACTTTTTACTTCACAGTATTTTAAGTGCACTCATACCACAAAGACACTATACATTTACAATATCTATGCCCTCTCTGCAATTCAAACTTGAACTCAATACTGTGATAGCTGGCTCTGCTATCACCATGCCAACAGGACAGCTAGGGAAAAAAACTAATTTTGTAATTACATTTTTTACTTTTTTTTTTTTTTTTTTTGTAATTTATGTAACTTGGAAGTATGAAACAATAAACAGCTTAAATTCTCATACGCATATACATCATAAAAAATGTACTATGAACCATTTTTTATATGCACATGATGTACTGGTACATATATAAATAAAAGAGACTAAAAGAGGTTGGAGATACCCAAGTGAGCATATTTACTGATGACCTAGTAATATAGATGGAAACTAGTAACTGTTGAAACTATCAAAGACAGAAACAGCAACTTGACAGTAATATGAATAAACCTCTGCAGACCCTTCAATCTTGGGCCATGGACGATAAAAACATTATCAATAAATCAAAAACTATGTATCAGCTTTTTACTTTGAAACATGTTGAACCTGACTTTGATTTGTATTTGGATAACATAAAACTAGGTGGAAGTTGCAGGACAAAATACCTTGGGGTTATAAGAGTCAGTAAGTTAAATTTATCACAGCATGTCAGACACACTCTGATTAGAGTCGAAAAATGATTGACTATCTTAAAGAGACTGGCTGGTGCAAAATGGAGCTGTACCCAGGACACTCTAAATCTCATTTACAACACCTATATACCAGTTCTTAAATATGGCAGTGAAATTCTGGTTTCAGCTGCATAGACCAAGTTTGAAGTCCTGGAGAGAGCTCAGAATAAAGCTATCTGCTTGATTACAGGAGCAGTAGTGTCAACTCCAATAGCAGCTTTACAATCCTATACTTCGAACCCTTCCATTGCTGCTGAGATAAAGAAACAGGCAGTTTATATAGTTGCTAGACTGAGAGCACTTCCATGGACAAATTGGATCCAAAATAGGTAAGTAGGCATCCTCGGAAATGGGATTTCTTCAGTCGAGATTTCAGAAAGCCTTTTGGATGATTTAAACCTCAAGATTCCCATTGAAAATACTAACATATTAGTAGACCAGTTGAAGGTTTTGCAAATGCCCTATAATTTAAAACTGAGTAAAAATAAAATAAAAAGACATACTACATATTCTAAAAACAAATGCCTTGTCACTATTGGACAATAACTATCCTGAACCAGAATGGATACATGTATTTACAGATGGCTTTAGAATGAATAATGCTGCTGGCACAGGATGTATATTGTAAACTGTTTTCACAGCATGTCTCACAGGGTCAACATTTTTCAAATTTTGATGCAGAAGTTCATGCAGGCTTTTAACTGTGTCTAACTTGAAATCTACAATTGAGTTTTTTTACAAAGGTCATCATTCTTGTTGATTCTAAGTCGATCATAGAGGCAATACCTCTCTAACACCACTCTCAGCCTCCTCTTGTATCAAAAATAAAACGAAATATCAGGGAACTATATAGGAATGGTAAAATAGTAGAATTTCAGTGGATACCATTCCACGTAAAATATTTTTTTATTACCATTGATGGTAATGAAAAAGCAGATCTCTTGGTAAAGAGGAGTACAAAGTTATTTATTGAACAGAGTTCCTTCTTTTGGATTCCCTTCGAATAAGTATTTGAGAAAATCTTACGTCAGCTTATAACACAGGACTATCAATTAAATTGAAGGGTAAACTTAAGGAAGACTACCAGGAATGACTGGAATGAGTTCAGTGGCAGGGCATTGTAGAGAGGCTGTGGCAAATTTCCGACTGCATACACGGCATGACTGCTCAGCCGCACATCTCAGGAAAATAGGCATACTGAATGATAACCAATGCCCTATTTGTCAAACAGACACTATGAATAAGCAGCACTTAATTCTAAGTTACAACATAGTGATGATGTTCGTCAGCTGATTGGATAGCCAGGGATCTTATGTCCTGAGCACATGGTTGTTTCGCTGCTAATCACTGAAGATTTAAAAAATTTTAATTGTGAAATTTTTATCTCTTAATTTTTTTTGGTATTGTAAAAATTTTAGTGCTGTTATTATGAAGCGTTTTAAAATTTTCATGATGTAATTTTGAATTCAATTTTTGGGGGGTGGACTGATGTAAATAATGGATTGCTTTGCATATAAAGCCATATGAAACAAAAACAACACGTATAAATAAAGTTTTACTTAAAATTTGCCAATGACAACAACAACAACAACAACAACAACAACAACAAAAAAAAAAAAAAAAAAAATTTTTTTTTGGCAAATTTTAAATTGTTGAAAAATTTGATCTGGCCAACACACGATCTCCTATCAATTCTATATTTCAAAGAGCAATGAGCTATAAGTAAATTATCATTTCCAGTTGATTGTCTGTAAACAAAATCTAATCTGTTTGTTTGTTGTGAGTAAATAGAAATGGCTATAGTACAAAATTTTGCAATATATTTTATTAGGTATCACTGGACACATGTAAAAACTAGTATTTCTAAAATTTATCAACATAATCAAATGTCTGCTGCCGTATTTCTTTTTATTAAAAATTGTATTTTATTGGGCAGTTGAGTACCATATAATTTAAATGGTTTTTAATAAAAGAAAATTATATGTTTATGATATATTTAAAATTAATACTTTGAAACAGATATAATAATTTAATTTTCTTTAATGTAACTTCCATAATATCAAGAACGATATTTAGATATCAGTAAACTAGACTTGTATTGTACATTCCAGGATCAGTCAGAAGTAAAGCAATAGCTTTTGATTTTCCTATTTGCTCTTGCTTCTTATCATCATCATAAACAGTGAAAGACAACAGCATTTTTTGGTAACATGCCAGCATTACTAAAGTTTTGAAGTTCTGTGAATAAAACACATATAGAAAAATCATTTTTTTCCTATAGCTTCATATAAATAAATATCATGTCTAGATATAATAAAAATAGTCTTAATACGTAGTACTTAGCTTAAACTCTTATAATAGAGTTGAAACATCATATATGCATGCATATGCAAGTTTTAAATACCAAATCTGAGAAGTTTTGGATTATATCATAATATATTATTTCATACAAATCTGTTAAGAGTTTAAATTAAAGTATTACTGTTAAGAGTTTAAATTAAAGTATCATTTCTGGTTTATCAATTTTAACCAAAATCTTATGTTATTTCCATTTACACAAAAGTCTTAAATACTAAAATTGAAAAGTTTTGGGCTACATTTTAATGTAGCTTTCCCTTAAAAACTGTTATGGGCTTCATATAAAGTACCACTTCCAACAGTCCAATCTTACCTAAAATTTAATCAACTCTTTATATGAATGCAGAAATTTTAAATACAGAAAACAGAAATTTTTGATAGTTTCATTTCAGAGTTATCAAGGATGAAACAATCGTTATACTCATATACACGACATGGGAAAAATAGTAAAAACTGTTGTAGTGACCCTAATTCATTGTCATTTCACTGAAAAGTCACTATCAAATTTTGGGACCAAGAACATTATCTTTCGTGCCTATCTATCTATCTATATATATATGTATACACATATATATGTAATAATAGCAAGGAAAAGACGGAACACTGTTGATGTGTAATAGTTATACAAGGGTAGATCCACACTGAAGAGGAAAAATTCTGATTGCGCAATATGCTAATGTGTTGAGATCATAATATCTAAGACACTTGGCAGAATCTGGACTCGTCGGGACTTCGGCAATTCCGGATTATCGGTTTTTCCAGATTATAGATCATCAGTTAAAAACTGGTAAGATGCATGCAGAAATTATAAAATTAAGAATATGAAACCGTAATTTATGAAATAAAGAGCAATTATGATCTAAAGGGTATCAAAATTTACAAAAGAAAATAAAAAAAAAAGAGCTTAATATTTATTTGTTTACTTTATTAAATATTTCTTTCAACGCGCGCATGCGTAAAGCATACATTACGCGTAGTCGAAATTAGAAAACTGCAACCAGAAAACTATTTGATGTGTATTCGTGATATTTATAATGATGAAGAATTTAATTTAAATTATATCAAAGGCGGAGTACATCGAGATGAAATACTACATTTAGTAAGGAATTATAAGCCAAATAAAATAAAATCATCTGCCTTAAAATAAGGATAATGCTGACAAATCAACTTCCAGTTCACTAAGCACCACGACGTCCCCCCCCCCCCCCCCGCTTAGCATCGCGAAATTGATAAACAGATTTTGGAATGGTTAGAGAAACAAAGGATATGCCTTTATCCCTTTCTTGCAGCAATTCCACTTTTTGTTTGATGGATATCGAAACATGCTTTCTCTTTGTAGATCCTTTGGCAGCTCCAGAACCGGAAATTCTTTTTGACATAATCGAAAGTTCAAGCTTACTTATAAAATTGCTCTAACAGTCTGCAAAAAATAATAAGCCGGATCCAATTAGAAGATTAAGGAACAATGCAATCTGCAACATTAACTGAAATAGATAATTAGATAATTTTAGCTTAACTTATACCGTCTGTTATACATTAAACGCACATGCACTTGCGTAAAGGTATTACGCAAGCATCAACGTATTATGAGTTGACGCATGCGCAGAAAGTTTGTAGCTTTGAGGTCCGGATTATAGATCATTCCGGATTATGGACGTCCGAAAGACTTTTGACTGTATATAGTTTGGAGGTAAAAATGACGAAAATTTAGGATTCTGAGAAATTACAATACATGTTAAATATTAACTCAAAAATTTTACTTGATACAATAAGAAATTTTATTTTTATTTAAATCAATTTTATTAGTTATAATTTTACTATAAAACAAAAAAGTGATGAAACACTCACACTTCCTAAGTTATTCACTTTATTAGCTGGAGGCAATCGAAACCACTGCCTGGATGGATAATGAAATGCATAAAGAAAGCTACTGGGTGCTACATGCTCTATTTCATATGAAATTCCTCCAAATATATATATGCTTTCAGTGTTCGGGTGATAGACACTAGTATGACCATACAGACCTAACAGAGCAAAAAACATTACACATATGCATTATTCAACAGCTGTAAAAGTAGTACATAATCAATTGATCATGCAAAATGAAATCAATCTTTTTTCAGAAGAGATCAAAATATCTGACATAAAATTGAGTGAAAGAGTTGAACATAGCTTTAAAATAATTTATATATTTCCTGAAATTAAAAGCATAATAAACATTTCTTTTTTTAATCATACTGAAGTGAGGTAAGAAATCAGTGTAACATGGCACAAATGTTTTTAATTCTTTTAAAAAATTATATCTTATTTACCGAGAATATACAAAAACAGTTCATACCTATTGGTTGAGCACCAGTTGAATTGATGACATACCACTCTCTGTCTTCAATATTAAATTCCATTACTTTCTCAAAAAAACCATACAATGCGGAAAATCCACCAATTAATAAAATTCGATCATTATTTACTGTAGTCAGTGTAGAGCCAGCCATTGATAATACACCTGCAGATGTCTAAAAGTGAATAATCATGAGATTCTTATAAATAAAAAGTATATGGGGGGGGGGGAACTTGCAGTCTAAAACTTCAGATTATTGTCTAACAGCTTAAAAGAAGTTTTGCCATTAAATATAAAAAAATAATATTTACTATTGCCAACTGATGAGTCAAATGCTTATTATTAAATGTAATACATCTAAAAAAGAATTTAAATTATAAAAGATCCATCACTTGATTCTGCAGTTTTCTTTTTTAACTCTTCAGATGATGTACAGCAGGTATCGCATAATGTGATCAAATTCTTTCTCAGTTATTTTGATAATATGAACTGAATGAATTTAAACAATGAGAAAAAAAATACTATCAAAACAGCAATAGAATTTAACTAATTTAATATTAATATAACTAAAAACATATAAACAGGTATTTTCACAGCATTAAAGCAAAAGTTTTTTATGAAATGTTCACAATATCTTTAAATGAAAAAGTTCATTTGGGTTTTACATGAACATTTTTGAAACTTATTTGACTGATGCTATAATTCATTATATTCGGAGTGCATACCTTATTAGGAGAGAACATGCAGTGTAAAATTTCAAATTAGGCAAAAAAGTAACCTTACTTTTACATAGACTTTTTCAAAAAATTTTTTTTCCTTCCAGGATAAAAAAAAATTTACAAAGTTTCTTGTTCCTGAATAAGAGGGTTCTTTATTTGATCACCCCCAAAATCAATAGTTATTCGAGATCTACCAAGATCTACATCAAACTAACACTGCTTTTTTTGCCTAATTTGAAATAGCTGTTTGAAATCAAAAAAAGCCATTTGGTGACTTAATCCTTTACCTGGTGATATTTCTCTGGCACTTGACAATTTTTATACTATATTTTGACTTTATTTGGTGACTTTACTTCAGTTAAAAAAAAATTTATTTTATAATATTTCGATCACATTAACCGAATTGATCACAACAAATAATATATTTTTCACATTTCTGTATACAAAAAGACCGGACTTTAGCAAATTTATAACAATATCTGAATGATAACATTAAGTGATGCCTACTGCAGGCATTTTCGCAGCATTAACACACAAATTTGTTTATGAAATGTTCATAACATCTTTAAATTAAAAAGTTCATTTATGTTTTACATGGACGTTTCTGAAACTTATTTGACTGATGCTTATACTCAGAGTGCATTCCTTACTGGAAGAGACCATGCAGTGTAAAATTTGATATAAGGCAAAAAAGCAACCTTACTTTTGCATAGCTGTTTTCAGAGAATTTTTTTTCTTCCAGGGAAGAAAAAAAAATCCATGAAAAGTTTTTTTGTGCCTAAAGAAAAGAGGTCTTTCTTTGATCACCCGAAAAATCAATAGAGTTATTCAAGATGTACCAAGATCAAAATCAAACTAACCCTGCTTAATTTTAAGAAGCTGATTGAATCAAAAAAGCCATTTGTTGACTTGCTCCTTTATCTGGTAATATTTTCCTGGCACCTGACAATTTTTATACTCTATTTTTGACTTTATTTAGTGACTTTATTTCAGTTTAAAAAAACTTTATTCTATAATATATACAAATTTATATTATTTATTATTATTATGTATTTATATTTGTTATAAAATTTATTCTATAATATATACAAACTGTTGATTACAACAAATAACATATTTTCCACGTTTCTGTATAAAAACAGACCAGACTTCACCAAATTGATAACAATATCTCAGTGGTAAGATTAACTGTAATCACATTAAATGGTGTCTACTGTAGTTGCTTTTTTCCATTCACTTAAGTATAGGAAAGTATCTCATGGATAAACTGAGCTGATATAATATGAAATGCATAAAAAATATCAAAATTTTAAAAACTACATTTCTGTTTGAGAAGAATTAAAACATGAAATATATATATTTTAAACAAATTTAAATTCTTAACAAATACGTATAAAAGTAAAAAAGCAAATTTAAATTCTAAAAAAAGAAAAAAGCCAAAATAATTTAAAATAATTTAAAAATATGCAAACACGTAAAAGATTTAATTCTCGAACTAATCTACAATATCATTTAAATTCAGAAGCATAAGAAATTAAGTGCAAAATCTATCCATGAAAATAAATCTACTAATTTAATAAATTAAAATTAAATTAAATTAAACAATTTTTTTAAAAAATGCATATGTGAATGATCGTAGAGTAGGCAGGAGACAGACTTATCAAGGGGAAGTTGCCTCCAAACCTAACTCTCCAATCATTCAATTCGTGTTTCGTCATTCATGCAGGCAAGGGTAAAAGTCAAAACCAAAACTAATTCCAATGAAGTCGTACCCTTAGAATTTAACATTTAAGTATTAACATTTAAGAATTAAAGTTCAAAAAGGAAAATACTATAAGTCTTTTGAGAAACAAGCAAGTAAAGTCAAGAATTAAACTTTTTCTTAAAAAATTAAATTTTTAAAAATTAATTCTTTATAAAATAATAAAAAAATCTAGAAACCAATGTATTTTAGAAATCCTTGTCTACAGAAACTTTCCCTACACGAATATGCATATCAATAAAAAGAAACTATAAAAGAACTATACATAATCCATAAAAACCAATAAGAAATAAAAAATAAAAAGAAACAAAAAGAACTAATTCACAATTTTTAAAATAAATATATATTTAAAAATATAATTTCATATTTAGAAAATACTTAGATACTACATAAAAATTTTTTTTTAAAAATACTTAAAGCAAGTAAATAGTAAGTTTTAATTCTAACTTACCTACTATATGAGTGTTGGGGTCTGCAAAAGTGTTGTGAAAGAGAAGTAAGTGTGTTCTTCAAATTATATAGATGGCGCTTATGTAGGTAAAGTTGAGTTGTCAAGCTGCTATCTTTGTTATAGTAAAAATTTTTTTGTAAATATTAATATTAATATTAATTAAATTAAATTAAAAATCTTAAAGGTAGTAATACCAATTATTTAGGGAGTTAAGTAACTGAGCCAATCAAGAGATGTATGTTTGCTTGAAGGAAATTAAAGTGAAGTGGTATGTGAAAAAAAATGTAAACTGTTTGTAATTTGAAATGTGTGTTCTGTTGAAAAATTGTGAAAATTGTTAAAAAATTAAGTGAAAGATATTTTGTGTGAAAATTGCAAAAAATTAAAGAAATTAAGAAAACCTGAAATGTTTTAATATTAAAGTTTTAAAGTAAAATTTCCCAAAATTTTTTTGAAATGAAGTCCTTAAAAAAACCTCTAAAAATTCCCAGAAATTTCTCAAAAATTCCTTTAGGAAGTTAAATAAAACTTAAATTTGATGAAAGAAAATATTAAAAGTTTAATGAACTTGATTTAATTGGTATATCAAAACTTAACTAAATACTGGCTAAAGTATGGAAAATTAGTAGAAGAAGATTAAAATCTTCACTCAATTCGGGCTATAATTGAGACTTTTGAAAAGAGTTGGCCCTTTATTAGTAAAAGGAAAGAATCCAGTATTGATTAAATATACATATTTACAAAATATTTACAATAAAAATTTACAATAATTTCTCTACTCTTTTATATCCTTCATTACCCTCCAGTTAAGGTTTAAGGTAATGTTATCATACCCAATAGAGCCAAAAAATTATAAAGTAAAGTTAAGGCCTGCCTTTTTAATATATAAATTAATAAATTTTGGTGGTACTTGGTTATCAACTTGTACATTAATTAGTTTTATGATTTCTTCCTTTAAATCTTCATTTTCAGTACATATATTTTTTATTCTGATAATTTGGCTATGAAACATGTTTTCTATTACTTTTCTAGAGATATTAGAGTTCCAATTAATTAGTTTAAGAGTAGGAAAATGGAAATTCCTTCTTTTATCAAATAATTTAATTTTATTGTGTTTAATAATTTGCAGGTCTAGGAATTCAATAAAGTATCTTGATTCGTATTTGTTTTATTAAGTGTTAAACTATTTGGATAAATTTTGAATTTCTCAAAAGTAGAATTATTATTGAAAGTTATAATATCATCTATGTATCTAAAAGTATGAGCAAATAGCTTTAATTCATTTTTTATTTAAACTGAGTTGGAATTTATATTCAAATGTAAAAAGAAATAGGTTACAAATTTGTGTAGAAACTGTTGCTCCCATAGGAATACCTCTAACTTGCTGAAAGATCTTAATTTGTATTTAATGGTAGTTAATTAAATAATGCACAATTCAGATAAGTATTCCATCTTTCAATACAAAGGATGTCAAGTATGTCAGGAAAAAGCTGTGGGAGTTGCATTAAACTAGTAAAAATTTCTTCTAATGGTAGAGAGAGTATAAAGGTTTTCAAAGTCATAACAATTAATGTTCTTGATTGTTTAAACTTTTAATTTAATTTAATTTAATTAATATTAATATTTACAAAAAATTTTTCACTATAACAAAAGGTAGCAGCTTGACACTCAACTTTACCTACATAAGCGTCATCTATATAATTTGAAGAACACACTTACTTCTCTTTCACAACACTTTTGCAGACCCCAACACTCATATAGTAGGTAAGTTAGAATTAAAACTTACTATTTACTTGCTTTAAGTTTTTTTAAAAAAATTTTATGTAGTATCTAAGTATTTTCTAAATATGAAATTATATTTTTAAATATATATTTTATTTTAAAAATTGTGAATTAGTTCTTTTTGTTTCTTTTATTTTTATTTCTTATTGGTTTATATGGATTATGTATAGTTCTTTTATAGTTTCTTTTTATTGATATGCATATTCGTGTAGGGGAAGTTTCTGTAGACAAGGATTTCTAAAATACATTGGTTTCTAGATTTTTTTTATTATTTTATAAAAAATTAATTTTTAAAAATTTAATTTTTTAAGAAAAAGTTTAATTCTTGACTTTACTTGCTTGTTTCTCAAAAGACTTATAGTATTTTCCTTTTTGAACTTTAATTCTTAAAATGTTAATACTTAAATGTTAAATTCTAAGGGTACGACTTCATTGGAATTAGTTTTGGTTTTGACTTTTTGACTTTTACCCTTGCCTGCATGAATGACGAAACACGAATTGAATGATTGGAGAGTTAGGTTTGGAGGCAACTTCCCCTTGATAAGTCTGTCTCCTGCCTACTCTACGATCATTCACATATGCATTTTTTAAAAAATTGTTTAATTTAATTTAATTTAATTTATTAAATTAGTAGATTTATTTTCATGGATAGATTTTGCACTTGATTTCTTATGCTTCTGAATTTAAATGATATTGTAGATTAGTTCGAGAATTAAATCTTTTACATGTTTGCATATTTTAAAATTATTTTAAATTATTTTGGCTTTTTTTTCTTTTTTTTAGAATTTAAATTTGCTTTTTTTACTTTTTTACTTTTATACGTATTTGTTAAGAATTTAAATTTGTTTAAAATTTAATTTTATTCCTTGCAGCAATGGCGCAAAGAATATTTAATTAAATATGTATTTAAAAATTTAATTTTTTTAATTAAACTCAATTTATTCTTATGAAATATATATACATATAATATGCATGTACAGCATGGAACTTTGATAATCTGTGATCCCCTAAGCTATGAAGCCCTATAATCTGTGCCCAATTTTGAAAGTAAGCAAGCAAAACTTAAATTTTCAGAAAATTCAGCATGCCAAATTTAACAATTTTTTATTACATGTATTTACTATTGAAATTATTTAGCATTTTCTGCACTTACATCAGTGCTATTTTCATATAACAAATGTCGATCATAAATCTAACCAAATTTGCTTTACATAAATTCTGATAATTGGATGCATTTTATTATTATTTGAAAAATCTTTGACACATTTTTACAATCTTTTATTTCCTCAAAAATCTTACCTATCATCTCTCAACTACATTTCCTCCTTATTGGATGTATTTCAACATTATTTAAAGTTAAAAATTTTTGACACATTTTTATAGTTTTTTATTTTCTCAAAAATCATCTATTTTATCCCTCCACTACATTTCCTCCTTTTGCTGATAATATTTCCTTTATATATAACTGTATCTAAATATAATACTTTTATGTTCAATAAATTTTGATTAACTAAATAATTGCTTATGTGTAAACAATCTAGGTTTCATACAGAAATTTGAAAGAAAAAATGGGAATAAAAAGACCTATGATTTGCAGAATTTCACATAACTTTTGAAACCGAGCTCTACAAAATTATCAAAATTCTATTGTGCACATGACTGCAAATTACAAGTTTCTGCAAAATTTCATTATCTTTACTTTTGGGGTGAATGATAGATTCCACATGAACAATTAAAAATTTTTCGAGTAACATATTATACATTATTAGTACTGGTATAAATAACACCTGTTGAAAAATGTCATTAAGAAATACAGGTAAAACTATTTCTTAAATGATTTATTTTATTACAATTCATGAGCAGCACACTTATACACTGTAAAATATTTTAGACACTGTTGACTGGCAACAATTTCCTGATCTTTATTTATGGAGGACAAATACTACAAAGAAGGAGAATGCATAATCTTTGTTTCAAGAGTTTTGCAGAAATTCTGCATAAATATCAAAGTAACTTAACCGAAATTGTATACATGAAAAGAGACACAACACTTTCAAAACATTAGTGAGAAAAATCAAGGCTACTTAAGTTCTCAAAAAAACTTAAATTATTTAAATTACATTACACTTACATTATTTAAATCCTCTCTCAACATCAAACTAACACTGTAAACAAATGTAACTAAATTAATGGTATCACATGGAGCTACTGCTGCAAAATCATCATATATTCCATTGCTGAACATTTTTTAATCAATATTTATTTTATTTTAATTTAATTTACAGGAAATTATTTATTTCACATTCAACAAATACATTTAGAACATGAAAACTTTCAAAACTGCAGAAAATTTTGCTCTTGATGAGGACGGACCCGAACCTAATCGACCTTGAAATTGATAATGTTTTGATTAAAATCTACACCAAACATAAGGTTGTTGTTTTCAGGACTGTGGAGTCAGGCAGATTTTGGGGTAAAAGGAGTCGGAGCCAGAGTTGCTAAAAACAGGTCGACACTGACTCCAACTCCAGTTTTTGTTGTAATTTGAAATGAAATTAAAATGAATTGAAAAAAATAATGACAAGCTGAGTTATTACTTTTATTTATGAACTGTATACGTTAATAAATAGTTATTTTCTATTTTATTGACATATTAATAAATAAATATGAGGATGAATGTGATATTTGCCATTAGCAATTACACTGATTCATTTAGTTACAAATCTCATTGGTAAATTTAGGTAAGCAGCAATAGCAGCAAGAACTCCTAAAATTGATGCCATTCTTAGGAAGTGAGCAGGAAAAGGAGCAATTATTGATCAAGTAACACAATAAGGAAGTACATATTTGATGATAAAGAGTCTTTAGAATTAAGAACTTGTTTAGAAGAAGTAGATAATCCTAATGTTTTACTAAAAAAAAGACTGTGGAATGATCTTGCAGAATTATAAACTCTTCTTTCTATACCGTATATAGCCACAAAAAAGCTGCAATCTGAAGAATTGACAGGAGACAAGAATGGGATGTTTGTTCTTTCTGAAATGGAGGGTTTATTGCAGAAGGAATCATTTCTTCGATAAAGAAAAGAGAAACTAATTTGCTAGACAATGAGATCTTGCTGGGTTCAATATATGTAGATCCGAAACAACGAATTTTCTTGGATGACGAACAAATTAAAAAGGCAAAGAAAGTCATCTATGAACTTTCATTAAGAATGAAATTATTCTTAGAACAATTACAGAATTCGAATCAGGACAGTCAAACTGCAGACACTGCAAATGAATCTCTACCATCCTCTTCCAGTGATGAATTAGATTTTGAGAAATATTTTTGGATAATATTGAAAAGGCTAAGGCAAAGCGAATGAAAATAAAGAACCAAGAGCTTTTAGATATAAAAATGAAGAAATACAAAGAAGATTTCTACACGGCCTTTGAAGAAATAGAGAAACATGATTACGCTTGCAAAACACCTCTTTTAGAACTTATAAAAATCTTTCCTGAAAAGTTAAAAGAAGTAGCCCTAACAGTAATAGCTCTTCCTCTTACTCAAGTTAGTGTGGAAAGACACTCTCAGCTCTGAAGTTTATCAAATCGGATCCATAGGCCTCCAACAAAGAAGATCTTGCCGAAGCTATACTGTTTCTTAGAAATAAATAATGGCAGTTTTTCTATTTCATGATAAATGCTAATTAATATAAATAACTTGCTATGCCATCATTTTTTTTTCTGTAGCATCTATTATTTTATTTATATTAAAAAATAAGCTGTAACCCATGCATATATGTTTACATATATATATGAGGGAGTTGGAGTCATTAAAATTCCAGAAGCCGGTCATTTTCTCTACTCACAGCCCTGGTTGTTTTACCTAATTTTAAGTCCTCTAACTCTCTGTTTTAATTCAGGTCGCCTGCCTGTCTAAAAAATAGTAAGTGCTTATAATAAATCTCCCTAAACTGTGGCATTTCCAAATCAATCCATGTCATATGATTCTTGCATAATGCTAATGATGCTTCAACAATCAATCATAATTACAAGTAAATAGTTATTTTATAAAGCTATAATGTCTGTAAGTGCTAATGATGCACTTATAGAAATGTTTCAACAAATAATATTTCAACTTGGGAAGCAATACATTTTAACAACCAATGGGGAAATTGGGAGCAAACTAGCGTATTCTGGCCTAGATTTTCATCTTGAGTATGTCACATTCCTGCCCTTGTTTGCTGCTCTACCAACATGTCACTGCTTACCTCTCTTTCATCATCATATTGCCATAGGATGTAGAAAAGATACAAATGTGATCAAGAATGGGCACGCAGATTCCACCTATTACAATGTGTAACTAGATTTATGAATATGCCTTTCAAGAGTACAGAAACATTCTACTAGCTCATAAATATGTAAGAATTTAGAAGAGAACATCAAGATATCATATTTGTGTGATCAAGAATGGGCATGCAGATTTCACCCATTGCAATGTGTAATTTAAGTTATGAATGCTTTTCAAGAGCAAAGAAATAATTAAAAAGAGAACACTATCACATTTGTGTGTGTGTGTGTGTGTGTGTGTATATATATATATATATATATATAAGTTTTAAATATAGATCATGATGAAAAGATTATTATCAAAGTATTACATTGGAATATAATAAAGATGATTAAAATTTAAATTTTGCATGCTTTTGCATATTTATTTTAGAAATTTAAACCCAAATATTTGAGCTTTGCATAATGCACCTATATTTGGAATGCAACTTTTGCACTGAACGGAAGTTATCCACAAATGTTTAAAAGCAGTTTAAACACAATAGCAGAAAAACTAACACTCACTGAAATCTCTGGAAGCTGAATCCAAACTTCATTCAATGTATCAAACTCCCAAAAGTCTCTAAGTACATCATGCTCATCTAATCCACCATATATGTAAAGGGAATTATTGCATGCAGCAGATGCATGAAAGTGACGGGGTGGGGGATTATAGTCAGTAACAATCTGAAATGTAAACCAAAATGTTATTAAATAGGTTCAAGATAAATATGTGTTACTTGAACAATTTACATGCTTTAAAAATTACAAAATACATTTTACAATCTCTTTTCAAATATATAGTAACACAGAAAATACGTTAAAATCAAACTCTTGAATTGATTCAAAAACTGATGTACTTGCTTATTATTGATTTTTTACTAATGATTAACTTAATCATTAGTAAAAAATCAATAATAAGCAAATATCATTTAAACCGATCTTCAGGATTTTTCCATTAAATTCAAAATTCAATCTAGAAGCACCAAAAAATTTTATTTATTAAAACTAATTTTTTTTATAAAATAACTATTTACTTGTTATTATGGTTAAATGAACTATTTACTTGTTATTATGGTTAAATGAATTATTTTTTAACATTTCTGAAAATCAGAAAGTTGCTGATGATTTCTAGATTTGAAACTGCTAGATTAATGATGCATTGATTCTTTCATTGTGTAAATTCTCTTCTTCCCATTTTGCACTAAATTTATAGACACATCATTAAATTATATATATTTTTTAAGGTCAAGAGTAGTGTTTATGTCACAGGTATGCAGAATGCCATAACAAAAGCATCTTCCATTAATGTCACTTTTCACAGCAAGGAGAGTAGTGTTCATGTCATAGGTATGCAGAATGTCTTAACAAAAGCATAATACAGTACAGTCTAATATTTGTACCTCCGAATCATTAATAACTTTGAATAAATACAGAGTAAAAATAAAAAGCAATTGAAAACCTAACACAATATGCGCTAACAGTTGCTACAACTGGTGGCAATATTATAAAATTAAATAAAACATTTAAATCCATCCTATATTCAGTCTGGAAGAAACCTTAGAAATAAAATTGAGACGCACAGTGATTAACTGCATGGAAAGGTGTAAGAACAGTGAATACCAAAAATGAAAACAGTAAAAGCAAAAAGGTGATATACATATTGTTGTCAGGAGTTTGGTAGAAATAAAAAGTATATGTAACAATCTTTTTCCGAACTGATATCAAAAACTTCTATGACTAACTTTCTATTGTTAACATTATTTCCGTTAACCATACAAAGTTAGTCATAGAAGTTATTTAATTTAAAGTTAAAATTTTAATTTACAGTTTGTGTTGATATTAGCAATGTTTTCCCCATCTAATTGAGATTCTTGTATGCTACTTCAAAGATCTCTATTCAAGTGGCTGTGTTTAATATGTACACACACACACACACACAAAAAAAAAAAAAAAAAGGAGACAGTTCTATATCTCAAGTTCTACTGGGCTGACTGACGAAATTCAACTTGTGTTTTTCATGTCTCGAAAGCGTGGATTATTATATACTTTGGATATATATTAGATTTAGAGTGCTAATATAGGTATTTTGACAAAAAATTGGATTTTTTGTGAAATGACATGCCAATTCTTTCCATATTTTGATTCTACGACTCAAAATATGTCTAAATGTTAAACTGGAAAATTTCGTGTGAAATTTATGGCGAAATTATAAAATTTATCTTGGTGAGTTTTTTTCAAGTATGTACACTGCTCAAAAAAAAAAAAAAAAAAAAAAAAAAAAGAAGAAGAAGAGGGGGACAGTGCTATATCTCCCATTCTACTGGGGCCGATTACAAATTCCAAATTGCGTTTTTCATGTCTCTAAGTCGGCGACTTAGATATTAGATATATATAGCACTATTCTAACATAGGTATTTTAGACACAATCGACTTTTCTGAATAATACCAATTTTTTCCATATTTTAAATGTTAATTGAATTTGGCAAATATTATTTAACATCTCTTATTTTTTATATAAACTTTTTCTCCACACATCCGAAATTTGTTCATCCAAATAAAATTTATCCAGTTTTTGTTTTATTTTTTATTTTTTTATATTTTTAATATTTTTAAATATATTTTTATAAATATTTGAAAAAAAATTAGTACTTTTTATTCACATTTTCTAAGATATACACGAATTTACATTTTCGAGTTTTGAAATTTGCATCTTTTTTTTTGAGCGCTAATAACGCCAATGTGTGTCTTATGGATTATTGTTACAGTGAATTGCCACAGCTATTTTACCTTAAATTTCAAGTAAAATTTTACGGAGAATTTATTATGACATTTTTTCCCTCAATGATGCCTAATAAATACTTATTGTACTATATTAAAAGCTATTATTTTTAAATTATAGATATATATTCAAATTTTTAAAATTTTTTAAATCTCTCTCTATCTTTTTTTTTTAAAAAATAGAGTAAATTTTTACCTTCGGCGTTTATCGTCTGCTACTTTACTCTTTGTTTAAATCGAATTGTCTAAAACTGAGAATTTTCATTTCATTTATTTATTTGAATTTTAACATAACTGCATAAAACAAACTGTTGCTTTTGAAGGCTGAAAGAGCGGCTGATACTATCAGACTTTTTAAAGCACAGTATATTTTTATAGAAACTAAGATTTGAATAATCATTTTTATAAAAGTCAAATTATGATAAACATTCAACCCTCTAAGACTGAATTTGGAAGTTCAATGGTTATGTAAAATGATTTGCAGCTACGTAATGGCTGGATAAGTCAGCAGTTCTGTGGACAAGTAAGAATAATTATATAAACGACACCCAACCTTCTGATTCAATTAACAACGAGGATACGATTTTATTAAATGAATTTAAGAAGTTTTAAACATAAAAAAATCAATTCATTTTTTTTATCCTAAAATGTAATTTTGTGCGTAGCGTATTTTCATTATATTCTTAAAATTCTAATTTAGAATGTAATTGTCAAAACTGAATCCTAATCATCAATAATATAATAAGTAATTATTACGGTTATTAATAAAATTTCTTATAAAGTAATTGCAAATATTTCAAAAAACTTTCTGTCTGAATGCAAATATTTTTAATTTTATATTAATCAAGATTGCACATGATATTATTTATTTGCACTTCAATTCTTACCGTCAGCTCTAGTAGAAGTTACAAATCAATTATATTTAATTAAGGATTGAATTGGATTATTTAATTATGGCAAAGCACACGAGGGCTATCTTCCTAAAGGGAGGGATGCCTTCGTGGATGACTTTCTAAGGGAAACTGACTCGTATACACGTTACACATGGGGAAAACTAAGAAAACGCCCATGCGGCCAGCCCGTTCCTGGGATTCGAACTTTGGACCGAACTACCAGTGTTCAGCATCTTTACCGCTCGGCCGCTGTTGGGCTATTTAATTAAGGAATCACCATCTAAGTTTAGAAACAGCGTACCATAACATCAATTCAATTATTGGCGCCGTATCTTTCATGTTACTCCCGATTGGCAAGCTACATGATTTTTAATAAGTATTCGGGTTTTGCTAGTAACTTCACTTGGAAATCACGCTTAAACTAGGTTAGTTGGTTATTTGAACATAGAAAGAACATGGAGCTATTTGGTTAAGATGCTTTCATAGAGAACCTTTGTAAAGAGACCTAGAAACTACGAAAACCAACCATGCAGCCTGGGTTAGACTTCGCAACAAACAATTAGTATTTAACAATCTTCAAACGATAGGCAACTGGTGAGGCTCCAATTAAATCTCCAATTTAATATTTTATTTGTAAATATTTAAAATGTTGTATTCTTACACAGAAAAAGCAGAATTTAAGTTTTGTTAACTCGTTAGTAAACTACCAAGCCGTAGTGCAAATGAATATTCAATTTTTTATGCAATAATTGTATTCACTTAATATTCTTGGAATATGAGCTAAAGACGGAAGATTAGAGAAGTGTTTAGATCCAGTGATATTAGGTTTGTCTTACAAGCTCAGGCACGAAAACGATTCTGCAATTGGCCGAGTAGTTGGCTTGTAAATGGCTGAGAATTAAGCAGATGACTTTTAATCTTATGTTTTCAGTCAGAAAACATATTCCAAATGTTTTGTATTGCATGACAATGCATCTTTTCATCATTCAATAACCAGTCGGAAGAACCGCTTGCGTTCCGAAAATAAGTATGTGTATTCAATCGTCCTGCATGTTCTTCAAATTTGTCTTCTTGTGATTTTTTTTCTTTACCAAAAACTAAAGTTGCCTCTCAAAGGAAAGTCTTTTGACATTGAAGAGACAAAAGGAGTATGAACATCTACCTTTAGAGGCATGTCAAAAACAGATCTCTACAAGCCTTTCTCTTCCATTACATGTTGTGCAGTCAGACCAAAAATTTGCATCAGTGTAAATTCTTTAATCTATTTTTATTACACTCTGATTACTTTATTAACATACAGTGAATATATACTAAATCTTTTAATTCAGCTTAAGTAATTCGGAATTTTTGACGAATTGTTGTCAGAACTAGGACTTAGAAGATAAACCAAATTAAATATTTCGATAACCCAATAAATTCAAGGTCAAAATTTCAATATTTTATTTTCGGAGGGAGGGGACCTTTTTTCAGTTTTGGTCCATTATCCTAAGTATATTTGCTTCGATTTTTTATTTTTCCATAAAAGCGGAAATTTTACGCATGGTATACATATAACGCATAGCTTCAAATTAAAATTTAATAATATACAGAGTGGTTATAATTAAAGTTCCACATTGAAACGGTCATAAACTACTGGATCAAATGTTATCAAACTTGGAAATCGTGTAAAGGAGGTCATGGGATTATTTTTTCCGCGAAAAAAGGAAGTTCGAAACCTCACCACCAGGAGGGAAATGGCGCTGTATGCAATATTGTTAAACGAAATAGGTTCGGAATCTAACTTAACCTTTTGTTAAACGGGTTTAATATGTTGTATACCCTTAAGAAACTTTGAAGTAGGCAAATTATTATTTAAAGACGTTAAATTCGATAAATGTCGAGTGCGCCATCCCTGTAAGTGAGAATTTCGTCCGTGAAAACCACGAATTAGCGATTAGAAAATGTAAGATCGCAAATCACTCTCACAAGTGCGTACAATCTGGAAATCGTTTTCTTACAGATCGCTAATTTGTA